TTTATTGTTGAAAGTATTACATTATTGTCCCATTCCCCCCCCCCTTTAACCCCCTACAGCCTGCCCCCTGCCGCCCGCCACCCCCACCCACACCACCCTACTGTCTGTGTCCATGGGTTATGCATATATGCATACAAGATCTTTGGTTTATTACCTCCCACCCACCCACCCTCTCCTGCCTTCCCTCCCAGATTCCACACTCTGTTCCATGCTCCCATGTCTCTGGATCTACTCCTTTCATCAGTTTGTTACTTAGATTCCACATATGAGTGAGTTCATGTAACACTTGCCTTTTTCGGACTGACTTATTTCACATAGTATAATACTCTCCAGGTCTCTCCATGCTGTCTCAAAGGGTAAGAGATTCTTCTTTTTTACAGCTGCATAGTATTCCATGGTATAAATGTACCACAGCTTGTTTATCCACTCCTCTACTGATGGACACTTGGGCTGTTTCCAGATCTTAGCTATTGTAAATTGTGCTGTTATGAACATAGGGAAATTGTGCTGCTATGAACATAGAGGTGCATATATCCTTTCTGATTGGTGTTTTGGGTTTCTTAGGATATATTCCTAGAAGTGGGAATACTCGGTCAAATGGCAGTTCCATATTTAATTTTTAAAATATATTTTATTGATTTTTTTACAGAGATGAAGGGAGAGGGATAGAGAGTTAGAAACATCGATGAGAAAGAAACATCAATCAGTTGCCTCCAGCACACCCCCTACTGGGGATGTGCCACCAGCAACCAAGGTACATGCCCTTGACTGGAATCGAACCCGGGACCCTTCAGTCTGCAGGCTACGCTCTATCCACTGAGCCAAACCGGTTAGGGCTATTTTTTCAACAGATTCTAAATTCTGGTTTGGCTCAGTGGATAGAGTGTTGGCATGTGGCCCAAAGGGTCCCGGGTTCGATTCTAGTCAAGGGCTCCTCCCTGCCCTGGCCCTGGTCAGGACGGGTACAGGAGGCAACCAATCGATGTGTTTCTCACACATCGATGTTTTTCTCTGTCTTTCCCTCTCTCTAAAAATATCCGTGGGTGAGGATTTAAAAAACAGAAAAGAGAGATTCTAAATTATATCCCATGATTCCTTTCTTCTCACTGCCCCACACTCAGCTGAATTGAGCTCTTAACAGTTCTTGGGATATGTCTGTCTTCCCAACTTCACGCTTTTGTTTTTCTGTATCCCCCTGAAATCTTCACCTCTACTAAAATCTTAGCCAGCCTTTATAACACATCTTCAAAGCTTCGTTCTGGTTCCTAAATCCGAAGTGACTTCTCTGATCTCCCACAATGCCCCCTTGTGGCACTGGCTGCATCCTGCTTTTTAACTGTAGTTATTTGTATGTTTTATTTCTTCTACAAGACTGAAACTTCTCAAGGGTTCTAATTGCACCTTGTTTCTCCGAGTCCCTAAAAGTGCTCATGGAGTTTAGTGCAAAGATAAATATTTGAGAGGTAACTAAATGAAGTGACAAGTCTTCAGGTACAGAAATGCGAGGCCCGGACTCTGGGCAACCTGTGTCAGTTTGGGGCTAGGGCAGTGATGGCAAACCATTTGAGCTCGGCGTGTCAGCATTTTGAAAAACCCTAACTTAACTCTGGTGCCGTGTCACATATAGAAATTTTTTGATATTTGCAAACATAGTAAAACAAAGACTTATATTTTTGATATTTATTTTATACTAGGGGCCCAGTGCACGAATTCCTGCAGCTGGAAAGGAACTATGGGCCGTGAAGCTGCTGTGGGCATAGGGGTGGGTCTCGGCCCATCCTCGGCCCTCCGCCCGGCCCCTCCCATCATGACTCCCGGTCCCCTCTCTGCCAGCAGCCCTGCTCCCACTGCTGCCGGTTCCACATGCTGACGGCGCCAGCCCCACTCATACCCACTGCTGGCACCCGGCACCAGTCCCGATCGCTTGGTGCCATCAGTGGGTGCAAGTGGTGGCTGCTGGCCCCAACCACCCCTCAGGGCTTCTCCACCGACCGGTGCCCAGTGCTGGCTGCGGCTGTGAGTGGGGCCGGCACCAGTAGCAGGTGTGAGTGCCAGGTGGGATTGTGGCATGCGGGGGAGCAAAAAATTTTCAATAACCACCAGAGGCTTGCCCTGATGACAGTGACTGGTGCCCCGCCTTGGTCTGGCGCCTCCACTCACCTGCTCCACCATCCCACTGCAGCCAACACCCGCCATGTTCCGTGCACACCCCCCTGGTGGTCAGCGCATGTAATAGTGACCGGTTGTCCAGTTGTTCTGGTTGTTCCACCATTCGGTCTATTTGCATATTAGCCTTTTATTATATAGGATATTTAAATGCCATTTAACAAAGAAAAATCAACCAAAAAAATGAGTTCGCATGTCACCTCTGACACGCGTGTCATAGGTTCGCCATCACTGGGCTAGGGAGTAGTGAATTCTGAAGGTCATCTTTGCAGAGAGACAGTGCAATGGGGCACACTGGAACACAGCTAAATCTGAGTCCAACTTGGTAACTAATATTCCCTCTGTTGGGGTGCTCCCAGGTTCTTCAGCTTCTTGGGGATGATCTTGTTGGTTTATTTTTTTAATATATAATTTTTATACCATATGATTCTTTAAAATTTTTTTATTTTTATGATTTCAAAGAGGAAGGGAGAGGGAGAGAGAAACATCAATGATGAGAGAGATCATTGATCGGCTGCCTCCTGCACACCCCAAACTGGGGACCGAGCCGGCAACCCAGGCATATGCCTGACCGGGAATTGAACCGTGACCTCTTGATTCATAAGTCGACACTCAACCACTGAGCCACGTGGCCTCGGCTATCATATGATTCTTCCATTTAAAATCTACAGTTCAATTATTTTTAATCTGCATTCATAATTGTGCACCAATCGCCAGAGTCTAATTTTAGAACATTTTCATCACCCCAACAAGAAAGCTTGTTCCCATTTGTAGTCACTCCCCATCTCTCCTCTCCCCACACCACCCCTTTAACTGCTAATCTACTTTCTGTCTCTATAGATTTGCCTATTTTTGACATTTCATATAAATGAAATAATGAAATATATGGTCTTTTGTGACTGACTTCTTTCACTTGTTAAATTAATCAAACAAGGAGGCCTAAACTGAGGTGGTTCTAATGGTTCAGCAGCCGATGTAAGCAAACCAAACCTAATCCTGAAATGCCTCAAGCACATTAAAAAATCAAAACCTAACAACAACCAATTAAAGAGCCAATCAAACAGCTTTTCCAAGTAAGGTAAAAGTGTAAGTTACAGATAATAATGTCCTTGCTTTGCTTCCTCATCTTCTCTACAAAAGTCTTTCTCCTAGCTCCTGTAGGTGGAGCACTCCTAACCACTTATGGTTTGGTTCTGCCCAATTTGAATCTGCTTTTACTCAAATAAACTTATATAAAAATGCAATATGCCTCATTTTATCTTTTAACACAATGTATTTTTGAGATTCATCTATGTTGTAGCATGTATCAGTACTTCACTGGTTTTGGAGGCTGAATAATATCTATATATATAAAACCCTAATATGCAAATAGACTGAACGGCTGAACAAGGAACAACTGGTCACTATGACATGTGCTGACCACCAGGGGGTGTGTGGGGAACATGGCGGGCGTCGGCAGCAGGCAGCAGAGCGAGGAACATGGCGGGCATCAGCTGTGGCAGGATGGTGGAGCAGGTGAGTGGGGATGCCCAACCAAGGTGGGGCACTGGTCACTGTCATTGGGGCGAGCCTCTGGCGGTTACTGAAAATTCTTTCCTCCTGAGCACCATGGTCCCGCCAGGCGCTCGCACCTGCAGCTGGCGCTGGCCCTACTTGCACCCGTTGCCGGCGCCTGGCGCTGGTTCCGATTGCTCAGCGCTGCCAGCGGTGCAAGCGGCCCCAATTGCCCCTCAGGGCTTCTTCACCTCCCCCTGCTCCTGAGGAGCGATCGAGGCCGGCAGCTGCCTCACCCATCCACTGCTGGTGATGGCCCTTCTCGAACTTGCTGCTAGTGCTGGAGCCGCCACTTGCACCCACACCACTGCCTGCGAAGGTGCTGGCCCCGATCGCCCCTGAGGGCTTCTCCACCACCCCCTGCTCCTGAGGGGCGACCAGGGCACAACTGAATGGCGGGTTGTTCTGCCAATCGCTCTACGCAGTCAGCAGGTGCAAGCAGGGCCGAGACGTCAGCACATGGGAGTAGTGGTGGGGGTGGGAGCAGGGCTCCCGGTAGACAGGGGATCAGGGGCCATAGCAGGAGGGGCCAGGCAGGGGTGCGGAGGATGGGCCGAGACCCACCCCTATGCCCACTGCAGCCTCGTGGCCCACAGTTCCTTTCAAGGTGCACGAATTTGTGCACTGGGACCCTGGTTCCATTATATAAATCTAAAGTGCCACAATTTGTGATCCATTCATCAGTTCATGGAAATTTGGGTAGTTTCCACTTTTTGGCTATTATGAATAGTGCTTAGGTCCGGCAGGTGTGGCTCAGTGATTAAGCATCGACCTATGTATCAGGAGGTCATGTTTCGATTCCCAGTCAGGGTATATGCCTGGGTTGAGGGCTTGATCCCCAGTGAGGGGGGTGCAGGAGGCAGTCGATCTATTATTCTATCATCATTGATGTTTCTATCTCTCTCTCTCTCCCTCTCCCTTCCTTTCTGAAATTAATAAAAATATATATTTTTAAAAATGAATAGTGCCCTAGCCAGTTTGGCTCAGTGGCTAGAGGACTGAGGACTCAAAGGTCCTGGGTTCGATTCTGGTCAAGGGCACATGCCTGGGTTGTGGGCTCAATCTCCAGTAGGCTGTGTGCAGGAGGCAGCCAATCAATGATTCTCTCATTATTGATATTTCTATCTTTCCCTCCCTTCCTCTCTGAAATCAATAAAAAAAATGAATAGTGCTTCAATGGACATTAGTGTGCAAGTTTATGGCTACACATATATTCAATTCTATGGGTAGATACTTCGTGTTAGGGTCGCCCAAGGAGGAATGCACGAGGCCAAAGGGGGTATAGAATTATGAATTTACTAGGTCATCTGGAAACCTGGATGGGCTAAGCCTCAAAATGGCACCAGCCCCCAAAGACGGGAAGTCAGAGGTTTTTAAAGGACTCTAAGCGGGCTTTTTCTGGGCGGAGAATTCTCTGGGCGGGTCGGATTCTGGGAAACTCTGGAGGGGAGAGATAATGGTATTAGCAAGTGGAATGTCCATTGTTAAGTGGCCTAAAGGTCCATTCCCAGGGGAGGGGGTATTGATTCAATTATTGGATCAGACCTAACACTTAGGAGTGGAATTGTTGGGTCAAATAACTCTGTATTTAACTTTTTGAAGGAGCTACCAAATTATTTTCCAAGGTGGCTGTACCATTTATATTCCCATGAGCAATGTATGAGAGTTCCAGTTTTTCCATATCCCTGCCAACACTGTTATTGTCCACATTTATTGTAGCAATCTTAGTGGGTGTGAAGTAGTTTCATTGTGGTTTTGATTTGCATTTCCCCAATGACTAATGATGTTGAGCATCTTTTCATGTGCTTATTGACCATTTGTATATTTTCTTTGAAGGACTATTAAAATCCTTTGCCCATTTTAGAATTGGGTTATATGTCTTACTATTTTTTTAAAAATATATTTTATTGATTTTTTACAGAGAGGAAGGGAGAGAGATAGAGAGTTAGAAACATCGATGAGAGAGAAACATCGACCAGCTGCCTCCTGCACATCTCCCACTGGAGATGTGCCCGCAACCCAGGCACATGCCCTTGACCGGAATTGAACCTGGGACCCTTGAGTCCGCAGGCCGACGCTCTATCCACTGAGCCAAACCGGTTTCGGCTATATGTCTTACTATTAAGCTGTAAGAGTTCTTTATATATTCTGGGTACTAGTCTCTTATCAATCTTTTCACTTTCCTGATGGTGCTTTTTAAAACACAACTATTTTAAATTTTGATGAAGCCTAATTTATCTATTTTTTCTTTTGTTTGTGCTTTTGGTTTCATATCTAAGAAACCATTGCCTAACCCAAGGTCGTGAAGATTAAACCCCTACATCTTCTCGTAAGAATTCTACAATTTTAGCTCTTACATTAAGCTTATTATCCATTTTGAGTTAATTTTTGTGAATGGCATGTGGTAGGGGTGTAGATTTATCCTTTTGTATGTGAATATCCAGTTTTCCCAAAACCTTTTGGTAAATACAAAACAAAAACCTCTTCTTGCCCTGGCCAGTGTTGCTCAGTGGTTAGAGCACTGGCCCTTGCACCAAAGGGTTGAGGGTTCTGTTCTCAGTCGGGGCATGTACCTGAGTTTCGGGTTCATTCCCCACCCTGAAAGATGGATGAGGGAGGCCACCAATCGATGTGTCTCTCTCACAACAATGTTTCTCTCTCTCTCTCCCTCCCTCCCTCCCTCCTTCTTTTGCACTCTCTCTGAAAAGCAATGGAAAAAATATCCTCAGGTAAGAATTAACAAAAAGACAAAAACAAAACAAAACCCTCTTCTTTACCCATTGCATTGTCTTGGTATCCTTGTCAAAAATCATTTGCCCACCCCTGGCTGGGTGGTTCAGTTGGTTGGAGCATTGTCCAGTACACCAAAAGGTTTTGGGTTCAATTCCCAGTCAGGGTACATATGTAGGTTGTGGGTTCGAGTCCCTGGTAACCAGTTGATGTTTCCCTCTCACATTGATGTTTCTCTCTCCCTTACTTTCTCTCTAAAAGTCAATTTTAAAAATCATTTCCTCATAAATGTATGGGTTTATTTCTGGACTCTCAATTTTATTCCATTGACTTATCTCTTTTGTTGTTGTTAATCCTCACCTAGTATATTTTTCCATTGATTTTCAGAGAGAGTGGAAGGGAGAGGGACAGAGAAAGAAACATCAATGTGAGAGAGACACATCATTTGGTTACCTCCTGCACGTGCCAGGGATTGAGCCTGCAACCGAGGTATGTGCCCTTGACCAGAATTGAACCTGGGACCCTTCTGCTCACAGGCCAACTCTCTATCCACTGAGCCACACTGGTGAGGGCTGTTTATCTCTTTTAATCTTACAATAAATTGGCTCAAGCTTCATTCTCCATGTTATGAGGACAACAACATCTCTCCACTGTCAGAAGTCTGGGAATTCTCTGGGACATACAGGGGTGGGTATGTGAAACACAGAGCTTATTCTTGTATTATTATGTATTTATTAATTATTGTATTATTTGTCTTTTTATTGTTATTGTTTTGTGTCCTTACTTGTGATTTATCTTTTAGGTAATGATGACTGGTAATTTAACCTACTTTTGCCCACCCCTGTGTTTTCCCTCCATTACCTCTTGTACCAAATTCTTGCTTTCACTGAATTGATTCTCAGCTCTGGGTCTTGTCTTCTATGACCTAGACTTTCTCTCTTCATTTTAACTTTCCCTAAACACCACCTTCATTCCTTCATTCCCTAGAGTACCAGGAACACAACGTGTGGCAAACTCTCACTCAGGATTCGAGTAAATGAATGGAGAATACTGCAAAGTTCATATGGATAGCAACTAAAAAACAATTTGATCATTGCCTAAAAGTGCATCAGCCAGTCTCTACGATGGGAACTTTTTGTTTGTGTCTTCTTTAGGTCCTGGCTGATGGTCATCTTCTGGGCACTCTTGCCTCCTGGATACCTTTTTTCTCTCTTCTCTACATGCCAACCTCCAACCGCCACTCGTCTTCCTTTTCTTATTGAGTTCTTTCCTTGACTTGCCTTCACCAAGATTCCCAGTCTCACCCTTTTCATTAAAAAGGCCCATGAAACCCTAGTTGGTTTGGCTCAGTGGATAGAGTGTCGGCCTACGGACTGAAGGGTCCGGGTTCGATCCCAGTCAAGGGCATATCCCTGGGTTGTGGGCTCAGTCCCTAGTAGGGGCATGCAGGAAGCAGCCAATCAATGATTCTCTCATCACTGATGTTTCTATCTCTCCCTCCTTCTCTGAAATCAATAAAAAGTATATTTTTTAAAAGCCCATGAAATTTCCTTGAACTGGTTCCCCCAACAGAGCTGCCATCTCTGACATAAACACTGCCCTTTCCCTAGAGTGAGGAAGCATAGCTGTCATTTTTTTCTTCCTGTACATACATTTCTGTGGGATAATTCTCTCTTGTCTGCAGCCTCCTCAAGTGAGAACCTGAACTACTCTATCTCTAAAGCTCTTTCCAGTACTCATGTCCTGTGGAAATTGCTAAATCTATCTAAATTACTAAATGGAGGATTAAACTTGGTAGAAACTGCTTAGAGAGGAAAAGGAAAGATGAGGAATTTTCCTTTACCCCTTGCTTCAGCTTTCCCTGTGGCCCAGGCTCGATTGTGAACATGAGCACCACTCCTACAGAAATGCAGAGCAGAATCCCAGAAATACTTTTCAGACCCTTTTGTGTCAGGTGGGTGAGCCACAGCATGACCATGGAATAAAAGTCAGTCTGAGACTCAGATTTCAATACCCTTCAGTGAACTCGCACCTGTGAGTCAGCCACTTTGTTAGTGCTTCAACGACAGTACCACCTCATTAATCACACCAGTCCT